CAATGAGTAGCCCTCTTAATGCAGTCTTGAGAAATGATACACTGTACACTTCACATGCACGGCCAGATAGCATAAAAAAGTAAAACAAAAAGCCAGCAAACTGCGTTGTCCGTACATGTCTGCCGTGCGCTCACTCGCACTTTTTCCAAGTAACATTAGATATTAACTGACAAGCACCACAAAACAGTGGAAGGACAAAAAAAAAAAAAAAAAAGATCTAAGACTGTTGGGTACCAGATGGTGAAAGCAAAAACATCCTAAGGGTTAGCTTTAATTTCTAATTTTCATTTTTGTTTTCTGAAGGGCACAACTGATTTTCTCTCCTCCCTAGGTCGACTTAATGATGTTATTTGATCAGGCCCACACACATACACACACATATATGCACCACACGGAGACACTTAACTGTCCACGCAGAGAAACCCTTTATCTGTAACTGCACATGTATCCAACCACAGTGCGTCTTCATATCCCACTGACCTTCATCTCCAGGCTTCTAGTCCAAACTTTCACAATAGTCAGGTCTTCATCGACAGAGGTGAAACACGGACATTTACAAAGTTCAGATGAAATGTGCTTGTCTTTTGTCAAAGTATATAGAAACTGATTTGATATAATCGTGCTCAGACAGAGACTTGAGAAAGCTGACATAAGATGCTTTTAGTGTTATCATGGCGTAAAGATGTGTAAATTCAGGATGTGCACAACAGAAATTCAGTACAAAACCCAGCTTGATGTATGTTGAGGTTTCATGATGAAAATATAGCATACTTAAAATTAATTCAACATTCATTTATTTGAAAAAACAAAAACACTGTTTACATTTCCACCTGTCCGCAGAAAAGACTGATAAAAAAAAAGAAAGAAAATTGACCCCTGTTGGAGGCATAAGCATAAATTTTCAGTGAATTTTACAAGATGAAACACAAACTGTTTCCATTAGACACGTCATGTGTTTGTGACAGTTCGATCCAACACACCCAGCTCACTGGAAACCTGACTATTGTCACTGTTTAACAAGATCATGATTTCAAATTAAAACCAAGTAAAACAAACATTCACTCCACACACACACACACACACACACACACACACACACACACACACACACTTTAACACTAGAGCAGGAAACTAACTTTTTCATTAACCAGCCACGGATGAAGATGTTTTTTTGTTTTTTTTTTTCTTCCAAAAATCCATCAGCTATGTTTCTATCACACAAGCCAACAAACTTTAGAAAACAACCTCTGGGTGGTGGAAGCCCACCGGTCGACTCGGCAGCCAAACTTCACCAAACTTGGGCTGTTAGCTGGCGTCAGTTTCCCACCCTATACAACATGCTCCCAAACACAAATACAAACTCAATATACCGCAAATACATGTGTACACATATATACAAATAGCAGCGGCCCCTCAAACACTGGGGGCAGCTTAACGATTTATAATGCATCATTTCTGTATATGCCAAGAATAAAACTTTTCTAAATAAAATACATAGTTATCTGTGAGGGTGGGGAATGGGGACAGCAGATGAACAGAGAGGAGGAGGGTAGGGCTCATCGCAGGGAGTGTCGGCAGAGGGTGGGAGTGCCAGGGAGAAGCCATCGTTGAGGGATGATGAAGAGAACAGATGAAGAAAGCGGGGAGGAAAGAGGGAGACGGATGGAGGGGGAAGACTCTTCTCCTTCACTGTGACGCTGCTCCCGAGCACTGTCCTGGGCCACTGCAGCACTCCGCCTCTTCAACGTTTGTTTAAATCGTTCCATAATAATAATAATATTAATAATAATAATAATGACCACGACAATGCTAAAAAAATATATATAAACCCCAGCCATGTCTCACAACTGTAAGTCCACAAAAACGGGGGAGGTCTGGCCCTCGAGTTCATCTGAGTCGGTGACGAGCAGATGCAGAGGAAATTAGAGACGCAGAGAAAGAAGGAAAACGAAGAGAGAGAGAGAAGAGGCCTGTCGAATGGAGCGGGCCACGGGAGGGAAGTGGCAAATGAGACCAGTATAGAAGAGTGGGAAAAAGGAAAAAAAAGAGAGCGGGAGGGGGGCAGAACAAAAACAGCACAGGCAGGATGTGCTATAATGAAGAGGAAATAAACAAAAAAAGAGGAAGCGGAGATGAAACGGGGGAGGATGTGGGGACCAAAGATGAGTCGTGTTGGGGCGTTGTGATCCACACACTGGTGTCCTTCTGAGGGTTTTCACAGAAGATTGGCGGAAAGCATGAACAAGTGATGACAACATGGCCTCACTGTGAGTGCACCCTCTCTCCTTCCCTCTAAATAAGGGAAAGGATCCGCAGTCCTCCCCGCGCTGGTCGATTATCCCAGGGTACATCATACCTCCAGGAAGCGAGAGCTGCTGGTCTTGGCATGGAAGGGCTCGGACCACATGCGCCGCAAATCCCCCTGTGGACCACAAACACCGATCAGACACTAGTAATGAGCCTTGAATCAAATATTTCCTGATACATCTTAGCTGAGTGGGTCAGCCAAGAAAACATTTGTTCCACTTTTTACTAAAATCAAACAGCAACCTCTTTACCATTTATACGCATGTGCACATATTCTCTCATTCTACTTAGCTTTCTAAAACTCCCTGAGTAATTATTTCTCAGAAGAGGGATCAGTGATGAGTTGCTCTCTAATGACTCTACTGTCTGATCTAGAATGGAGGAGAAAAGGAGAAATAGGCGTATAGATGTATGTTTCATAACTTTCCTGTTCCTGTGTGAGCAACTGTTTTTATTTCTGAAGTTAGAAGAATAAACTATTACAGCCAGTTTATTACATGAAAAAAATAACATCAATGGGATGGATGAGAGAATTACATCAGTTAAATAATAATAATTAAAAGAAACACAATGAATTACACAATTAAAAAAAAACTAACAAAATAAAAAACTTGCTCAATTCTGCAAAACTGCAAGAGATGAAATTGAAATTAATTACTACAGCTGTCCCATCCCATCAGCGTACCTTCAGGTAGGCCATAGTGAGCAGAGGCAGCAGGGTGAAGGGCACCAGGTAAAGCAGAGCGGGCTGAGCAGCACGATGGATCCTGGAGGCCACAGTGGCAGTCAGCAGGCCTGAAGATAGAGTCACACATCAATCACATTATCAGTTTTTTTTTTTTTTTTTTTCAATCTATTATCAAAGGTCGAGGAAAAAAAAAGATGGGAAAATTGAGATCCAAAGTTAACCATCTGAAAGATCCCACGTCAAAATGTTCACCAAAACACCAAAATAATGGTACCCAAACAACTAAAACACCTCCAAACACACCTAACACTGAAACAAACCCTTGACCTTTTACATCCATCCGTTCATTGATTGTTTGCTTACCCACAAAGTATCCGATGAGAGTGCAGTGGAAATAGGAGACGCGCTGCATGCGTCCGGACATGTTACCAGGTCCTGGGACTTCCCCATTTGCTTGCTTCTTATAGTTGTCATACCGCAAGACGAAACATAGCAGCAGCCCCGGCATCACAATGTCTCCTATTCCCAGCATTGAGAAGTGACTTCCTGTGGAACTGCATGGATGGAAAAAGAAGTCAGAGATAGGTCTTAAATGCTTGAATGCATAAGCACTGGGATAACGGTGGCTGAACAATGCAAGCACCCCCAAATCCCATGTGTATCATTTGTGTTTCATCACTTCTTTCTGAAATCCAACCAGGTATCAGATGTGAGCCAAAGAGAAGCCTATAGTCAAAGTAGCTGCACCATGAGTCTATAATGCTCATTACAGCAGAAAACTACATTTTGAATCAAGGAAAAACTGACAGAAAATATTATGATTCTTATCTTTTTACCACTAGTCAGGCAACAAACGTTTGGCCGTGGGGTGGCATCAAAGTAAAGACGACTTTGTGTTTGAAACGGATTATCCACTGAATAGTGCCTCTTTTAAGATAGCTCTACATTGTCCTGCACAGTGTTCTTCAGCTGTGCTGCTGCTCATTATTAACATATCAATGTTAAAATGTTAACGTGAATGGAAACAACCAGAGCTGCAACTAATGACCATTTCCCAATTATTTGTTTGGTCTGTAAAATTCCAAAAAAGGTTGTAAAATGTCAGAATTTCCTATACCACAAGATGGCATCTTCAGATATCTTGTTATGTCCAACTAACAGTCCAAACCATAAATATATTCAGTTAATTATCACATTAGACAAAGAAAAGAAGCAAATCCTCAGAACTGAGTATTTGCATTTAAGGAATGTTTGGCCTTTTGCCTTTCCGCCAAAATGAATGTAGCTACTATTTTGTGGATCATAGTTGCAAATTAATTTTCTGTCAATTAACTCAGTTTCAGCTCTATTAACAGCTACTGGATGACATTTAGCATGTAGCATCGCGCATGTTACAATGCTATGTTGGAATTAATTTCAAATTAAAGTCAGTACTTTTAGAGGTATCCTGTGATGCAAATTCTGAATGGTGTTTGGTACTGAATGAAAAGTCAGGGGATTACCAAAACCTTCAGAATACATCCTCTGAGGGCTGTACCAAATTTCCAGCCAACAGTGGTTAAGATATGTCACCACAGACCAAAGTGATGGACCGGTGCTGCCATATCCAGAGCCTTGCCAATAGCATGGCAGAAAACTAAATTTCAAATACCAGAGAAGACATAGCGACATAACTGAGATGCAGTGTTTCAACTCACAGCAGAACCTGATCAACGGCAGAGGAGTGAAAGATCCTGGATTAATGCGTAAAATTCCCACACTCCACTACCTGCTTTTCTCTCTGTGGTTACATCAGTCTTACCTGGGAAAGACCAGTTTGCCAGGTAGTGAGAGGCGGGGGACATCACGGCCCATCCCTGGCCCCAAGTGGAGCTTCCTGGACAGAACATCTATGGGATTTTCAGCAGGTTGGGTGGCAACTTTGACCATCACATTACTATTGAAGATGTAGGCTGAGAAGAACACCTGGAGGAAAAAATAAGGAGGCGATTTAGACAGTCACCTTGACAAATGCTCGTCACACCATCATTACCAGAGCCCAAATTATATTTTATTATCATTTATTGTGTCTTACCAACTGTCATAAACCTCACAAGCATGCACTCTCAGCAGACCATAAAGAGCAGATATTCATTCATCTAATGAATCTAAGGTTTGTCTATTATCACATTATTGTGAACATAAATGATCAGTGTCTGTGGGGAAATAACATTGAAGGTAGTGGTGTGCTGGCAGGTTGCTAGGAGCCCAGTATGCGAACAAGGAGAGCAATTGCAGGAAATGTGCTCAGTGGCAGAACATTACCAGAAGTATCTGAGTGTGAAAATGTGTTTTTCCTCTATTTTAATGTTATATATGAAATTTCCCTGTAATGGGAAAATCTGAGAGAAAGTCTGGCAGTTCTCTGTAGTGAAACATTTCTCCTAGGCGTCTTTTTTGACAGTGACACTGGTACTCATCTTTATTCCTACCTGAGAAGTAATGACACAACCATTATTATCTGAATGAAGTAGAAAATATATCTGAAACTGCCATGTGTTGCTCTTGATCCCCATGATCTTTAATACGCTCAGATCGATCTGTAATCTAAACTGATTAATAGGTTCAGTGGTTTCATTATGGAAATTACAGAAAAAATACACCTGCAGTTTTTTTAAACAACACATAAAATCATGAATTCCTACCTTAGTCACCCACTAATCGACTGATGCGCACCCTCATTCATTAGATACTACTTCTCCTTGGGTGGAAGCATTTGCTCCATTGGTGGTGACACATTTGCTGTTAAGTGGCCATTACTTTTGTGTTTTGTGCTCAGTGCAGGTGCCGATCCAAAGTTGGGACAATTCAATAGTGGCTAATAAACCACATCTAAATCAACCCGGTGCCAGAAAAAGACAACTACACTTAAGCTGGAACAGTGATGCTCATCTTAGTTTCTTTTCATCTTAGTTTCTCAAAGAGACATTTCTGTCCTTTATAACATTCTCACCTTCCTCTCAGCGATTATTCTGATTAATTTCCTTAAATTTTCGAGTTGAGAAGATTTAGGTTGTGTAAGTAGCTCTCCTGTATTTGTTCAGTCATTGTGGCTATCACCGCTATCAATGGTATGTCTTCCAAACATGCTGCTCAGGGATGTTCAGAACGAAAATGCAAAGGCTGAATCATTACCGCTTTGTAAAATGTACTGATAGAGGAATATTATTGATTGTGTCCTCATATATTTGCTTTAACTCATGGCAGTCGCTCGTGTGTCTGTTGTGATGCAGGTGAAGTTTGGGATGGGAGAATTTCGTACCCAGAACACATCATAAATGAGCAGTCCTGACAGCAGCAGGCAAGACACCTTCAGACTGGGAAGCCGCACGAAGGCTATCATGGCGACACACAAACCCATGGCTAAAGCTGCAGGGAAAGGAAAAAAAAAAAAAAACGACAGTTAAAAACACAATTCCTAATTTTAGCAGAAATGAGCTGAAATATTAACATGGGAACTGATTTTATCACATTTATTTAAGAAACATTAATTACTGTGCAAGCAGGCCTAATTAATCAGAGAGAGTAATCTGATGAAAGTTCTCTTCTCTTGTCCTACTTCATTTTTGGGTGCATGAGGTGCGACCTCCTGACATGAGATGTGGAGGTCAAACATGGGGCATGTCACGCTTTTCAATTTTTGTCAATAAAACAACAGTATATATTTATTCTAATGGCTGCATTTTGCATTCATTCATTTCAACCAGGTATAATGGCAACTTGAACCACGAAGGGCACTGAAACATCTTTATAGTATGTTTTATTTATCTTTTTTTTTGCTTTCTACATGAATTAGAGTATTTTGCTTTCTACTTTTTTTCTGTCCTTGTTTTGTAACTACTCAGAGTGTGCTATTTCTGGCTTGTTTATTACAGAATAAAAAAAAAAAATGATTTTACCGGTTTCGATGCAAGGACACAGTAAGAATGTCAAGCACGTGTGGAAATGTTTTACGATTTTTATGATCACATTTTGATTTTTGGGATGATGTTCTGATTTACATTCAATTTACATTTTAAAATTGACTCTAAATTCAAGTAAGCTGCATCAAATTTCATTCGTGCATGTTTTTGGGGGGTTTTAATGAAGAAATATTGTCATTTCTCTCAGTGCTGCATTGTTCAGATTACTGAATAACACTGCCAGGAATTTGTTTCAAAGTCTTACATTCATCTGAGTCAAATAAAAGAACTGCACACACCCACACACTTTTCTCTGCTTCGTCATTGCTTCACGAAGACACCATCTTTGATCAAGACCAGTTGATTTAAATGTCAGTTATGTTTTGTATAGCAGCTGACAAACATTAGTAGATTCCTCCTGTGTTAGCATGCAGCACACTGTAGCAAGAGCATGAAAACAGTGAGACATGTGAAGTTCCTTCTTCCACCAGAGATGATGAAAATTGAATTAGGTCCAGACTCTTGCCTTCATTGAAAATTGCGATGGTTTAATATGTTTTTCCTACTGGCAGTATAGCTAGCAACTATGCTAATAGTGCTTCGACCTACACACAATTACCCTTTTGTAATAGTTTGTTACTTGAAAAATTAAGAGACTATTCTGTGTAGATATTTTAATACTTCTCATTACTCTTTACTGCTGCATACCTCCAACATCCATTAATGTCATAAATGTGAACCACACGTCTTTCATCTCGTGTGCCACAAGGATCCACAGAACACAACCTGCTGTACAGCGTTTTTCTGTGAACCTTGCAACAACTTTCTGAGAGTCATGACAGAGCAACGCACCGTCCATGAGCAGCCAGTGTCCAGTCAGCACCCAGATGAGCACCAACATAACCGAGAGGGAGAAGGACAGGAGCTCGGCCAGAGTGAAACGCCCACAGCAGCCAAATGAAATCCTGCAATAAACAAGAAACACACGAAAATTCCAGCAAACATTTACAGACAGATTTTATCACTGAGCAGCATTTGCGTACTCCACTCCCCATGGGTGAGGGAGTGGAGTTAGTGAGAGCCTCTCACTCATGATTCATAATAAAAGATTCATCTGTGTGTTTCAGGTACATTACCACCACCCTCTGGACGGGAGTGGGGAAGACCCTGATTTTCCTGTAGCCTGAGAAAAGCAGGACGGATCACAATCACATTTGTAATTTGGCCAATGGAAACACATAAACGTGGGGTCCAAAAGTCTGAGACTTTCATCTCATCTGGATTTTATCTAAATACATCTGAAATGACCCCCGAGATGCATAAATGATAAATATGCAAAATATAGCCTGTGCTGCCTTTATTTAAGAGTACGCCAAGATGCACAAAATAACTACAAACTAAACACTGCAGAAAAGAGTTTTGGGTTAGAAGGGTTTGGTTCTGTAAAGCAGACAAAGGTTCACTGAAACTCGATCAGAGGCTCTGAATCTGTAACAAGAGAGGAGGTGTTCATATCAGGTATTGAGTAGATGGGTTGTATTGTTGGTAATTCCTTGTGCTTTACTATTGCTTGAGCCTGAAAGAGCTCATACACCCAGATACGTGAGTCAAAAGGTTATTAAATGATTTGTACACATCAAGTGAAAAGACAAAAGTTAAAGGGCTAATTCACCCAAATAACATGACTTACAGCCATTAAGCCTCACAAACAGTTGCTTTTTTTATTCTCCAAAGACATGATATCCGCACTTTAAACAGATCTGACTTTTGCTGCACAATTGATATACTGATAGGCTGAATCAAAGCGCTTTATGGGTCATACAAAACAGCGTGGAGCAGTCTGTGCAACAAAAAATTCAATATAAAGAAACAAAGAATCCGTATGATTTCCTTACTTGTTCTGTGGGGAGCAGGGTCTGGTCAGATACTGGCACATTGGCAACAAGAGGAATGCAAATGCAATTGTTGCAAGAACTGAGGAGAAGAACAAACAACACAGCAGTGAGACCAAAGGCCTTAGACACCTTAACTGCTTGTTACAGTTGTTTTCTGTTAGCTTAATGGGGCAGCTAATGGTCTTTACAGTTTCAATAATCAGCACAGAGAAGAGGCCTTCCCCAGAGTGTCACTTTTGAACAGAAAATGTGAACAGTTTATTTTACAGCTGTAGTGTTCTTGTGATATGTTCAAGAGCATCAGTTACCTGCAGTGCAGATGGTGAAGACCACCTGTACCGAGTCAAAGAAGAAGAACATGACTAGCAGAGACACAGAGGCTCCTATGGGCAGGAACAGGGCCTGTGTGGAGTCTATAGTCTGAATACCTGCAAAACAATACATACATCAGAGTGAGGAGGATTTCAACTCACAAGAAAACAAAAAATACACATATACAATGGCTTTATGGCTTTAAAATATGGTCACAAGCTGAACAGTGAACCAATTATGAACGATTACTTGTAAGTCCAAGAAAAACATGTTGTCTGTGTATTTCAGGCCTTGCAGTGTATGTAACACTCACTGTTGTTTGTGTTGCTGTTATTGAAAGACCCCGTTGTCGAGGGGTTACCATCTTTATCCTTCTCCTGGTTCTCACAATCCATGTTTAATGACCTGCAGTAGAAAGGGAAAGAAAGAGAGGAGAGGGAAGAGAGCAGGAGAGTGTGTTTGGACACAAGCATCAGTAATGAAAACCTCAAAAGTATGTAGACTGTTAATATGAGGTATAGGGCTGTATAGCTCCTGTCTTACAGTGAATGAATCAGAGATTGTGACTCCTGATGGCTCTTATTGCATATAAATATATCCGTCTTCTTTGGGGAAGGTAAAAAAACATCTTCATTTCCTTTATGTTGATTACTCAGTACAGAGTTTAAGTGAAAAATGAAAATGTTGACATAAAATAGCCAAGTATGGCTAAACTTTAGAGAGAGGGAACCATTAAGTGAATGGGCCTTTAGTAGAAAGACCATATGTGAACAACATCAGTTCAGTTTAAGGATCTGTCACTGTCATGGCTTACAGGGAGACTTGAATAAAACAGAGTCATTGTCATGTTATCAGTCTTTATGTTATTCATGTTATTAGCAACATTTGTACTTTTCCCACCATAACAAGTAAAACTGTCTCATATGACAGGAAACATCTCATTTACAGTGCAAAGTAGAGAATCTTGAAACATCTCCATAGTCACATCTCCATCCAAATTTAGCACAAATTTGAATTGAATTTCCAGAAAATTGTCAGAAGAAAATTTAAATTAATGCACACTTCTGTCTGCCTGTCTGATGCCATTAAACCATGAAAGAAGAAGATGGTACAATGAGATAGCATGATTAAAAAAGAAAGTACCATTCAAACCAAAAATGATGCAAAACCATGTAGAACACTTAATGGAAATATGGCATTTATGTTTTATGTATTCATGTATTTATTTAAGGAATATAAGGTCTTCTTATTGTTTTCATCTGTCGCAATATTTTTGTTTGCTTCATGCTTCATGTCCATCATGACTTATTCTTCAAGTCTACTTCCATTAAATTTTGTTTTAGCCAAGCATAAAAACGTTTTTATGCGCAAATTGAAAATGCACTTACAAACACGTGGAAGGAAAAGCACAGACTGTAAATGATTTTGTCTCCTGAAAGCAACAGACTAGAATGAGCTCAGTGAAACTTGATCGGAGCAGTCGTGACTCCCAAATAATAGCTACAATCCACCAAATGACCATAATGCGCCCCAAACAACTTTTTGTCTGATGTGTGCCAGGTTTGCATCAACAGCTCACCTATTAGTGCAGATACAGTTTGACTGAGACAAAGACACCTGGCTGATTTAGATGGGTGAATGAAAAAATACCTGCTCACTATTCTGCCTATGAATCAAACTCCATGGAGCCATTTACCTGATAGTACCGCTCCTCTAAAATAAATGTGTTTTGGCCAATATCCTAATGCAACTAAATCAATCAAAAGACCATTAGGTTCAGTATTGTAGATCCTTTTCAGTGCACATAATGCACCAAAATCATGTTACACCTACTGCTCAGAGTGTACACTTGGACTATAAGAGAGCCCAACACTGCTGCCTGCTGCAACAAGTGTTTTATTTTTTTTTTTACATTACACAAACAATGTACAATCTAACTAGATTTACGCCTGTGAACCAGGTCCATATATCAAATGCTTGGCAAATAAATGAATGTGGCATTTTTCACATATTTACTGGAACAAACCAAACAAAATATCTTTTTTCCCTATAAACCCAAGCTTTATTAAAACACATCCTTAATTTTGTTGTCTAAAAAACCAAAAGTGAGTGGCATGTGAACGAGTTAAGAGTATAAACTTATTTAAGGAACAAGATGTGCTCTGCAAGTCACTGCCCTCTATCCTCTTGACAGCTGAGGTGAATTGTTTATTTGTTGACACTCACCTGAAGCTGCCATAGACGATGAGAAGGATGGAGATGAGGAAGGTGGACACCTGGCTGGAGTCAACTAGGGAGTACGCCCTGAGGAGGAGAGAGAGAAATACAAATGTGAGGTTCCGTGCACAGAAGACTGTCGTGAAACTGGTAACTGGTACCACCTATTTAATGTTGAAGACAAACATAAACTGTGCTTTTTCCACCAAAAAACAGTTTCCATAACAACTGTCTTCTTACTGACAACACACTGAACACAAGTTGTCACTTCCATTAATATCACATAAACAGCTGCAAAGTCAATAAGCCTTAAATACACAAATGTTATTCTCTAAAGACCAAACACTTCAAGCCCTTGCTGATCTGCAGCTTCCTCCTTTTGTTGGTCCTAACTGGAATCTTTCATGCACTACAAAAACCCGGTTAGTTGACTTTTGCCAGAACCGTTGAATTTTTGAGCATATTACACATTCATTACATGTTGAGGTAGGTAAAAACACCTGTTGTTTGAGTTCTATCCCCATCTGATGTGAAAGACTTTGTGTTATCTGTTTGACCAATCCTATTTTCATTTTTTTTTTTTTTTTTTTTTTTTTTTTTTTTAGGACATGCTATTTTAGTTTTAATAAACAAAACAAGTACAGTTATTAAGTTGGCTACTTTCAAAACAGAGACGTCTACATTAACCTGAATTATAGAAGAGTCCTGAACTTCAAGAGCAGTAAACTACAGGGGCAGAAAAAACTACCCTTGTAGCTGTTTAACTGTGGTGAATTGTGCAAGTATCCTTTTCTCTTGGAATAAAGGTGGTTTTTCTACTGGATTCTGCTCTATAATCAATTCAGCTGAAGAGTGCACGCCCATATACACATACCAACCATCAGCCTGACATCAGAATACATCATGGTGGCACAGTTCTCTGCATATTTTTTTTTATATCCACCATGCTGTGGAAAATAACAAAATTGGAGACAAGTATGCAACTGTAATTTTAGTCGATCATTTCAGATTCTGTACTTTGACAATCTCACACTGGTTGTGGCAATTTTATCTGCACCAACTTGAATCTCTGCACACAAGCCACATTTCTCCCTCTGAAGTAGAAAAGCAAAAAATATTCTGACAACTAAAATTTATATGTAGGGCAGAACAAATGTTATAGAGTGAACATCATGAAGTATGTTCATTTATATATACCGTATAACAGCGAGTACATAAGAGCAGTAGATCCATTTCATACAATGGCAGAGTGACCTGTAGGTTGTGTATTCAAAGGGATCAGCACAGTTCAGTTCAACTGTTCGATTTTAATCACAGCATACAAAAAATCTTTCTAGTGACCATCTAAGAGAAAATCTAATGCAACATGAAAATATATCTAACGTATGTTGTAACAGTGCACAACGTACTGATGCTGCACGCTACATGAAATCGTTGCTGTGTTACACTGAGTTGAACATATTCTGTTCCCCCGAGGTGACTGGGCCTCATAATTACAGCCAACAGAGCAGCGAAGAACTGAGAGTGAAACAATTCGATAGTAAAATAAGAATTGCAAATTTTTTTGCAAGTTATTGATTGTGAAAATCAATAAAGCAAATGGGATCCATACGGTCCTAGGCAAATTGGAAACTGTCTACAAAGGAAGGAGGTCTCAGCTCACGACAGCAGTAAGGTTTTGATTTTTTTGATGTCTTTTTTATTTTGATTAGATCCATTGATTTAATTTGGGTGCACTGAACAGTCTTATCCTTTTTATATAAAAATTATTTTACACGTCTCTTTTGTACAGTACCTAACTGTTGTTTAGCTACTTAATTAAAATGAATACTTATTATAAATTCTAATCTGCGTTAGCCTTTTAAAATGCACTGTCCCACCAGTGGGACGCTTTGGCCTCGGTATGTCTTCTGGTGTGTGCCAGACTTGACACAACCTTGACGAAACCATACATTATTTGAAAGCTCTAACTCTCCTGGTTCTATCTGTGCATTTTTGGATCCTCATATCACTGCAACAGCTGTTGACAAAGAATTAGTTCAGACTTGTGGCTGTGCTCCAAAATGTTTTTAACACAAAAAGGTACTACGACAGGTTCCCTTTTTATGAAAAAAAAAAAAAACTAGGCGAGTACATTTGTGTGTTATTATGTTTGTGTTATTGTGAGAAAGACTAGACAAAATAAGGAGGACCTAATGAAAGACAACATAATGCATGTCCTCTGCTCAGGGTTGCTGTTAAAAGAGATTCCATGCACTTCAGTTTGAAGACAGCTAGTATCTTTGTTATGGTCTAGGAAAGATGAGCTGCACTGTCTTGAGTATGGCTTAAGATCTTCACTCATCCAGCTCCTTTTTATTCTGTTCATCAGTTAAACAAACAGAGGTTGTAAGATTACACATCTAATTAATCTTCTAAATTCAGCATAAAGTAATCTCACTGTTTTATCAGACCGTGTGGAATCAGGCTGCTAGTTTGCACACTGATGCTGTGTCTAAGCACCAAATTATTCCCATATCAATGATCTGGGGCCTTGACACTGCGTAGACTTGACATGCAACCTTATAATGCAGGGCTTTCTTCTCTGGGGCAAAGACAAGGCTGGCATTGTGTAGTGCTGACTTCAGGTGAGAGGTGCAGATTTGACCCTAATCCTTACCCATCTGTCGTGACCTGTCAAAATCTCTGGGCATGGGTGGGGCATGAAGTTAAAAAAAAAACAACAAAAAAAAAACAAACAAAACACACAAAAAACCTATGCCCCTAATAATGTCATCATCACTGATACAAAATCTCTATTGTGCCCTTAAAACTTCCCACAGTGGAATTTAAAAAAAGGCATGAACACACAGCTGCTAACAATCCCACAATGCAATGTTTCACATTCAAAATTATGTGTAACCCTACACCTGACAGTTATTACGTAAGAGTGATTGCAATGATTCAAAGGTAGAGGCTAGGTAGAGGTTAGGCTTCTATATCTATCAATATTAGCTTGTAGATGTATCAGTACCAATGAATATGTTGGCCAACAAGTATTAAGAAATTACAGTGCAGAAATATGATATGTTTGAGTGGTTTTTCACAGTAAAATGTCACTCTCAGCACAAAAATACCCCACCAATTTAAGGAATTCTTGATCACAAATATTTGTTTATGTAATGTTAAAAAAGAATTTAAAGAATTTCACCCAATTATTTTTTTTGAGTTTTTAAACTCATATCTGGATTGGCTCAGTATCAATCAGGCTACACTGTATATGTGAGGATAATAGTCCATAAATGTTGAGTTGCTGAATTTACTGCTCGCTGTAAACTCCTGAGTGTTTATCATTTAGAGAACAGTAAGTGAAAGAAAGGGGGTCAAGCTTTGGTATACAGAGGGTGACAAAATGCCAGAGAGGAAGTCTTAAAAAGCACACAGGAAAACAAGTAGAGGAACAATCAAAAGTTGACTGCTGCCAACACTGACTGGATGACACTAACAGCATATTGGTTACACTACAAGCTATAGATCTACAAAAAAATAAATGTGTCGAATTAACATCTGTAAGTCATTGTTTCTTGGATCTTTTCAAAGGCATAAATGTCTCCCCCTCTACTACAGCTGTAGCCAGCAACTCAGTCCTTACTCGGTAACTGTGAGGCAACATACAGAGAATATGAATGGGCTTCCTCTGCAACATACTGTGTCATGCAGGCTGCATTTCACTTTGTGTTGGCAATGCCGGCAAAACTCGATTATAACAGGTGCAATCCAAATTCACTGAAAGCTCTTTTTTTGTTTAATTACATTGATAAGAACAGGTCTGCATGCCTGGCTCATTAACGGTACAGATAAGATATAAACTACCACAATATTTACACAAGGTAATTTACAATAGCCATGTAGAACACCCTGGCGTCAGAGCATAAACATAATGAATAACACAATAAGTACTATCATTGTATGAACAGGGCTCATGAGAATATGCATGGTTTGGTCAAAGAAATCAGAGAGTATCAACTAACAAGTTACTAAAGAAAGTATTATGCCACATGTGTAGACATATCAGGCCCTGCAACTGGAATGTGTCCTTTTCTGCTGGCATGCAGTGAATACTGTTTCAGTTCTGACTGTCGCTGGGCTGCAATACTAGTTTTCTCCCAAGTAGCGACATAGAAAACAGCCCTTGCATAAAAAGACTTCAAATCATTTTTCATTCTGGTGCGCATGTGACACAAGAATTCACAGGTTTCATTGTGATGCTGGGGAAAAAGAAGCAAGAATCTCTTGTCTCTTTCATTCATTTACTAGTACAGGAATGACTACAGGGTGTCTTGGAGGGGTAACATGTAGTTCACTGTGGAAACAGGACACCAGGACAATGCTGCATCATGTAGCTCTGCCCTGGTCTTGTTTGTCCAATACAGGCCTCTACTTAATGACTGAAAAACACACTCAGCAGGCATCATCTTTAAAGTCACGTCAAATTACAATGGGGCCTGGTATGCTTGACCCAAGACCAAGGCTATAATAAACATCTAACAATACAGCCGATCCAAATATGACACCGTATTCAGGAAAGTGCTCCTTCTTTGTAGGCTGTAACCTAAATGGGTTAAATGTCTTACCAACAGTTTGGCTTCAAGCATTAAGAAAGCGATTAAGAAACTGACCTTGTTCATCTCCACACAGACACTAATGATGTCACTGCCTCACTGTCAACACAGCAAGCAGATAGACAGCTAGTTTTATCTACCACAGCCCTAATTCATATTCTAGTATCGAACTGGTTCGTCTGAATTCTGTGCACAGAAGCCTGTAGAACATGGGTGAGATAGATGAATGGAACATTTAAAAACAAAATACAATCCCGGACTGTTGAGGGCTGGATGGCAGCCCAAAGTGCCATAAGACGTCCTTGTTCACTGACAGACTAGGTTTTCAATAACACAATTCCAATACCGTCCTCCATCAAGCCAGTTGCATGCATGACTTGACCACTAAGGGCCAGGTCACCAGGCCACAATAAAGACTTTTGCAAATGCTGCCCCTGTGAGGCGTGGACATTTAGGACTGAGTGTCCAAAAACCATATCTTACTCA